TGAACATAAAGAAAATTCCTGCCTTCAACACGCTAATCAACGAAGACTCACAGATCACCGATTTAGCTTTCAAATTACGTATGAGAAACTTCGTGATCGAGGTAAGTAGCGCAGGCGATAAAGCAGCGCAATTATCACAAGTGTTATTATTATTGAATACGAGGAGAATAACGTAATCACATTTAGATATTTCACTTGCCACCGGAGTTCGACGACAGCAGTCAAAGGGAACAAGATGAGGCTGCTAGCATCGGCTGCAGCGGAACGGCAATCAATCACAAATTGGACTTTTAACTATCGTCTGGCAAAGTGTGCTGCTAGTGAAAAATAGCCCATTAGCTCTCGTGTGCCGAGCAGTGCTAATGCTCGCGTGGACACGGTACACGTACGCGCTGCTTGGGCGGACAGAACAACCAACGAGAGGGGCTCGAGCTCGAGCTGAATTAATGCAAAGGCAGGAGATAGGCTTGCTGAGCACTTACAATGATGTGCATGAAATCCGCTCTAGCGCACACTTTATACGGAATGCGAGGCAAAGTAATTTGCAGCGCAAGCCGAACGCCCTCGAATTCTGCTAAATCACGGGCTTCGGCCGCTTAATGTCTATTGCAAGCGTCGAAGCGCGAATCGAAGCGCGAATCGAAGCGCGAATCGAAGCGCGAATCGAAGCGCACTCGTCGATACCTTTTGTCTTTGAGAAACGAATATTGTTGGTTACGAGTGGTAATGCTAATATACCGAGGGATAAAGCGGCGTTAGCGATAAGCGAGTCGCCCTTAAAATACTAATGAGCCTGTGGGTGGGTATCGGCCGACATTTGGCCCGACAAAGAGCCCGTTTGTTGGAAATGCTAAGCCAGCTAAGCGAATAGACAGGTGAACGACAGAGTGTGATGGAGGGGGAGGCGTATCTCGCTTCCGGTAGGTTAATACGAGGGGGACCGAGAGCAAGGCACTTCCTTCCGTTGGCGTTTGGGGCTTAGGTGAGGTCGAATTGGCACGGCGCGTCGCGCATGAGGTACTCTAGGAGGGAACTCGAGCGAGTTGCTCTCAGGTCGGAGTTACGACAGCTTTTCTGCTCCCGCACAGTCCCGCGTACGATCGTCGATACTCCGCGTAATTTCTCTCGCGCGGCTAAAACTTACAAAGTGCATGCAGTTCCATTGCGAGCGGCTGCTTTCCAATTCAGCCAGTAAAGTGTGTGTATTCAGCGGTGATCAGTGATTAGCGTTTGTTCGGTGGCATGAGGTCTCGTCGGTTCGACCGGCTCCCCTGATAAACAAAGAATGCAAGAAAAAAAGAGGTTGGGCCTGATGAAGGCTTTCATGTGCTGCTCGAACATCATATTTTTAGTGAGTAATTAATCGTAAGGGCTGGATACGGCTGGCGCCGCTTATAATCTACCAAATGACATCTTGTGTACATGTGTATATATAAATATCTAAATATCTAAATATCTATCGTAAGATTAATGCTGCGGGGTGGAAGGATGGAGTGAAAAATGGCTCGATTCGCTTTCAGATGTCGGGCTTTGTGTTGATGTCATTGGGGGCACTTTTGCTGGCTGACAGCGACAGGGTTTTATTGTCACGATTGCTGGGAGCGAGTGACGTTCATCCGGAGCAGCCGCTTTTTTATTACGTCGCGCTCGTCGTTGTCGTCATCGGTTTTGCTATAGCCATCACTGGCATACTCGGATGCTGGGCTTCGTGTCTCCACAATTGTTGTATTACCGCAACCGTAAGTATTCGTTGTTTATTACGGCAAACAGCGACGACACTCTTAGCAATGGCAATTAATGTGGCTTTAACACGGCTGCTATAATGTTTATTGTCGTAGAGCATTTGACGATCGTAATAATACGTATGCGATGCGAAATATTTGTATTGTAAATTATATATTGGAGCTATTTTTTTATGATGTTACGAATAAACGAAATATTTTATCATATGATTAAAGCGATTTTATTGGTAAACAAAAAACAAAAGCAAAAAAAAAAACAAAAAAAGAACAAAAACAAAAATAAAATAAAAAGAATCCGATTTTTCATAAATAATTATTTTATTGCTTGACGCTCGGTATTATGGAAAGGGTCTAATTGTCAAATTGAACAATTTTATATATTTCATAACAATTAGCTTCAAAATTCAACTACGTTCATTCAATAATACATATAATTATAATATTATTACGCTATGTATACTACAATTATCAAACATACTTTTAGCTAGTAAAGATCTTATAATTTCTATATACAATGACAATTAAGAATATAAGCTAAATGATGAAATAAAGAAAATTCTTTTTTATTGTTCAAAATTTCATTGTCCATTGTTACGATAATCTCGATTTACCTAATCGATTATGAAATAGTTATAACGTATATATATATATATATATATATATATATATATATATATATATATATATATATTTTTTTTTTTTCATTATATTTCCTTATATCTGAAAACGAATTTTTTTTACTCGATGATTAAGAGTAATATTTACAACAAACAAATAGAATTTATATTGACGAGTATAAGTAAAGTACTATTGCATTGACTTATCGAGAATTATTTATAATGAGTAACAAGCGCTTCTTACAGGTATTATACTTTTAGTGTATTAATAATAATATTAATCCAATTTAAAATGAATTTTTAATAATCAACTTGTCCCTAAAATATGTATTATAAATTGAAGATAAAAGGATCAAATTTGCTACATTAAACAGATATCTGTGATTTATAAACAACAATTATCATTAATAATGTAGTATATATATACTTTCACGTGTTAACACACTTTTTATTCTTTAACTAGTTCAACGTCTAATTAAATTAGAAATTGAAATATAATAAGCGCTTTAAGTATTATAATAACAATGCCTTTCAAGTAGTCGTATATAATTGCAAATAACTCATCAAACATTGAAATATAATTTAGAAATCTTTTTCTTACTTTTTATCACAGCATGCTTTCCATGTAATTTCAAACAATACTTTAATTGCTCACGTTATTTTATAAAAATAACACTGCTCGATTATTTGTTTAATGAATTTTGATTATCCTCGATTAACTTTGCAATCTTCGTGCGATTCGCTTATGAGTTATTTAGGTTGTAGATCAATAGCAGAATCAATTTGTCCAATTCGTTACATTCTCGCGATTCTTTTAATCGCATCATTGATCATCAATTGCAGTACGACGTGCCGCTCGATTAATTAATCCATGCATAATAACATCGGTCGTCGATAATGTGAAACTTAAAAATGAAAATGCAAATACGCTCATTCAAATAGTAAATAGAGTGAGTATATTCATTAGCGAGGAGTGCAGTCATTATTAGAAATTCATTTTCTTTGCGCTCTTCATTCGTAATAGTACAATAACGCTACAATAATAACTCAAATAAATTTCTTTTCAAACTAAAATTTACGACTCCATTGTTAAGAATAAGTACGAGATAGCTTAAAGAATATTATTGGAAGCCCAAGGTATAGCAAACGGACCGGGAGTAGCTGTGAAACTTACTTTAACGAAAACCAATTAATGCCCCAATAATAACAATGAGGATGTCAGGATGTAAGGAATGATAATAAATGGCTATGTACCGCGTTAAAATGCCTTTGTCACCGTGTTTGTTTACAGTACGTAAGCATCATAGCGCTCCTGCTGATCGGGAAGTGTTCGATCTGCATGATCGTGGTGTTCTGGCCGCACCTGCTGGGTGTCAACGTGAGAGCGCCTCGTTTACTCAAGGCGTTGCAGCGGAGCTACGCACTTCCGGGCCGCGAGCAGTTCACCGCAGCCCTCGACCTCGCACAGACTTCCGTAAATATGCATTCACGAAGTTATCGTTGTCGAGTGTTTAGGCACCCGACCAGTCAGCGAACTGCTAACGGCTGCATGTTGCTAGTCGACATTTATTTATGAGTCGCTTACAGCATTAACGATTTTTCTGCGCGGCCTAACGAGGAATTTTATGGAATAAGTCGTCGTCACGGCTATTATTGGCCGTGAAATTTGGCCAATTGTATTTCATAATTCCGATTTAGGCCATAAGTGTCTTCTAATGCCAAAACAACCAACAGCCCCCCCCCCCAATAACAATAACAACAACAACAACAACAATAATAATAATAATAATATCAACAACGATGATAATGATAGGAGGAATTCTTTATTTTGAATAAAGAAATCCAGTGCTGTTTATTAGGACAGAGGAGAAAAGTTGTATTATCCGTTATTTGGTATTATAAATTTTGTAAAGACAAGAAATATAAATTAAATATTCATATATTGTACAATCGTATATTGTTTAACGTAAGAATGACAATTAAGATTTTTAACATTTTTTTTTTTTTTGCATCATAAAAATTATTTCAACATTCATTATATCTATTGACATTTAATAACTTTACATGTATCTTCTCTAAATTATTTTATTTTAATACGATTTATATATTACAATAGTTACAATCGATCGATTCTTGAGAGATAGAATTTTATATTATTATTATTATTATTATTATTATTATTATTATTATTATTATTATTATTATTAAATTTATTTAATAGTAATAGCAATTAATCAGTAGTAATATTGGGAAAGATTTTTCTTTAAAGTTTACTACTAATTTGAAAATCCTTTTTATAATCGAATAAATTTTTCAGTAGATCGCATCAATTGTTATTGATACATGTTTTATTATTATTACTATCAAAGAGATTATTTTTTATTACGTTTATACGATTGAACTATGAGTCAATTGGAATATTGAGTATTTTATTTTCTTTTAAAAGCCGGTAATAGATAATTATTTGCCATTGCTCATTGTATTTAATCGACAAATCTTTCATTACTTTCACCTCTTGAATAAAAGCTACGATTACATCTAGATTTTCCTTATAATTTACTAGTATAAAATAACATATTAGTAGAAATTACGTTATTATTATGGCTTATTTAGTGTTTTGTTCTTTATACAAGATATTTATGAAGATTATCGTTCAAATATAACGTTTCACATTCTGAGACAATTTATATTTACAATAATATATTAAAAACTATTTAAATGTTATTACGTAGGAAGATTAATTTTTCAAATTCTTTTATATTATATATTATTTTTTTATTATTATTTACACATACAAGATAAATCACATAATATTATATTTCATTTATCATAGAGCTTGAATAATGAATAATGAGATTAAATTAATATTGCTTATAAAAAAGCGTTTCCTTACATAATGAGACGAATGATTTAATACCAGTTTCGGCCAATTTCGATTTGTTTATAATTTAATATAATAAATATACTTTAATATCTCCAATGAAAATGCTTGAATATTTCTAAAGTAATTTTTGTACGCGCGTTTCAGTGAATATCTCAATTCATCTTTACTAATATATTTTATATCATTTATCTATTAATCAATATTATTTTTATTAAAAATATGAACTATTTCGTTTATTGTAATTATTAATAAAATAAATTTAATGTAATATAAGATTACTCCGTAAGAAAGAATATAAATGTTCTTGTATAAAGAAACCTTCAAATTACATCGTAAATTCAAATTTATTGATTACTATTACTCTTTATTCCATTAATATCAACGTATTTTAGATGAAATACAAGTATAAGAAAGATTATAAAGTTGATGATTCAAAAAATCATTTTAATAATTAAAAAATTGTTTAATACCTTTCGTTAAAATTTAAACAATGATCGTAAATATTGTAATGTATTTGTCAATGTTATGTAGATTATCGACTGCTTAATTTAATTTGTATTTTTAATATACTCATTATATGTGCGTGTGTGTGTGTGTGTGTGTGCGTGTGTGTGCGTGTGTGTGCGTGTGCGCGCGTGCGTGTGTGTGTGCACACGCGCGCGCCTTCATAGAAACATATGCACTTACTTTTATAATAAAAAGTATACGATAATTAAGGAACATCGTATAAACAGTAGAATATAAAATCTTTAAGCTTAATAATCGAATGTTGTGTGTGAAAAGCAGTCGATAATTGATTGGAATTGGTCGGAATAGAAATTGTAGGCAAAGTATAACATTAGTTTGAAATAGCTTAAACATATATGTGATGATGAAATGCTGATAAGTTGAATGCTCATGATCAAGGAAGTGGAGCGAAATTAAGTTACCGTGTTTATATATACTCGACTCGACCTGAAGGGCTCATACAAAGAGCAACGCAGATGGTAAGATTAATCAACGCGTTAACGAATGCGATTGCAGTTCTCGTGTTGTGGAATAAATGGAAGCAGCAATTACGGGACTTCATGGTGGCGGGTTCAAGAGCTCGGGCGCCGCGAGCTCATCGTGCCGTTGAGTTGCTGCTTCTTGAACAATTCATACGACCCGGACGCCTTTCTCAATCCCGAGCCGAGGAACCTGAGCCTCTGCCAAGCGCTCAATCCCACGCAGCATCAGCAAGCTCGTCACACTCCAGTACGTACACGCGTCAGTGCTAATTATGCTTAGCGTCCTTTTATTGTAATCGTTGTTAATTTTTTGCTGACTCAGGGCTGCTTGGACATGATTGAAACTTGGATGCAAGATCAGGCATTGATATTATTGGCGATAGGGCTGGCCGTTGTTTTGGTTGAGCTATGTGCCTTGCTGAGCACACTTTTGGCTTGTACCAATCAAAAGAGTCGGCGGCAGAAGAGAAAGAGAGCTCAGACGTCAACGTTCACCTCGACGCAAACGTTAAGCCCTTTCAACGAAATCGATCACGATTATGGTACAATTATTATAATATCTCGTGCAATTTTTCGATAAACATCGCCATTTGGCAATATATTCTTATCTTAAATTCGTGAATTATTATGAGCTTTTTATTTATGACGTTTAACAAATTTTAGGAATAAACTGTGGAAGCTTGGAAAATCAATTATCAATGACAGTTGGGAGCAGCTTTGCTGGAAAGTCTTGAAGATGGCTCGAGGGCAGTGAGAATTCGTTAAAAGCGAATATGGCGTATAATATGAGGAACGAAAACGCGAAAAATGAAGTACAAAATGACTCTAGGTACTGGGAACATCCAATAGATGTACCTAACGATGATCTTGAGAAATATTTTTTAAAGCAGAGCGCTCTAGATAGAGAGGAGAACGAGCGCGCGGTGTTAATAAAATCGTTTCATTTTCCAATTGGAAATAAATTGAAGGGAGACTTTTTATCGGGAAAGTCAAAGAAAATAATGAGCATTTCAACGTTAAGGCCGTCGCAACGGCGTAGTCGACGACGTCGCCGACAACAGGTGGATTTAAATTTTAGTGCCGATTGTAGCCTACAAGGTCATTATAATTTTATAGAAAATGCGTCCAGTCTTCATTCCAAGAGCGGCATGAGAACGCGAAAGTCAACGAAAGCGATTAAAAATACAATTACAGATAAGCAGTCGAACACCTTGAAAGCCGTGCAAAAATCCGGGCTCGTTAACACGAAAATAAGCATATACGAAAAGAATCTTAGCTGCGCGAATGACAATTACAAGCAATCGCGCAATGGTAAACGAAAGAAAGCAGTACTCGGTGTACCTTTGATAGGGATGCGCGAGTCAGAAACTATCGTCACAGCCTCGTCTGCCGACACATGGAAGAATTACGGTACTAAGGATCCATTGCAATTATATATAACGAGTGGTAAAGCCACAAACGCGCCGCAATCAGCTTCGACGATTAATCAGCAGAAGCTAAGAGAGCGAACGACAACTAAACGGAAAGCGCCGTCAATCCCAAAATCTAAATCGGCAGTGCAGACAATGCCAGCATTTATCAAAGGGACTCAAACTGCGAATGATTTCAAAAATTCGTCCATCAATTCCACGGTCACTCATCCCGTCAAATTTACAAGAAATCCTTATTTGAGTACCAAAGACGAGCAGTTAAGGCATACCAGAGATTTTCATCAATTGAGCGGATCAAGTAAAACTTCATCGGCGCACATTCAGCCGCCGTCCACATTTGTACGATCGTCAAGCCACAGTGGGAAAAGAAAAACTCTTTATGCAAAAGACACTGACAGAGACGAAGCTATCCGAGTTTTAACTAACCTGTGCCTAAATCCATTGGCGAGAAATAATAAAAGAGCCTCTTTTATGATGTGGTAATTCCAAGTTTGATCTCCACTATAATTGTTATTTAGATAATCGTATTATTAAGAAATTATTCTTACTGCCCTTGTTGAAGCCAAAACACGTTTAAACAGAAGCGTATTTAAGTATAAGAAGAGACTGCAATATATACGTAATATATAATATATTATGTATATATACACGAAATTAACAAATTTATACATTTTATTACTTACTGAATAATAAAAATTTCAAAAGAAGTAATATAATGTTTAGTGTGTGCAGGACAAAATTACCTCTCGTATGAAAAGCAAAAAAAAAAAAAAAAGAAAGAAAAAAAAAGGAGGAAATAAAAAAAGAAGAAGAAAAAAAAGAAAAGAATAATTTTTTCTTCGGTTCTCTAAAACATTATATTTTCTATTATTGTCTATATTTGATAATTATGTAACTAATTTTATATTAATAAACAAAATTTCATTATTATTAATATACATTCAATTATCGTTATAATCTTTAACATTTGTTTGTTACACATATTTTATTCGAACACACGTTGTAGGTAAATCTGTTGAGCAACAAATTATATTTTCTAATTTTATATTTTATTTTATTAATGATTTAAGTATTATTTTTTTATCAATTTAGATCTGATAGAATAACATTCGATTCGTTTTGTTTGAAACTCCAATTATATGTCTGTATTAAAAAGAGAAAAAAAACTGTATTAATAGTAAGTCTGTAATCGTAGTTGATTACATCGACGCGTAAAAATTACAATTAATCCATAATTATTAAAGTAAAGAGAAAAATTATCTCTCAATCATAATCTATCCACATTATTTTAAAATTTTTCAATAAAATACATATAACTTACTTCTTTCTCATGGGAAAAAATTCGGATTAATACAAACGAATTAACATCATTGGCCCTCTTGATAAAGTACTGCAATCCGTAGTAATTATCATTTGTATTTCCATTAATGGATATAATTGAGTCCCATGGGTAATGGACTCGTGCAGCCATAATTAAATTCAAGGACTCAAATAATCACGAGAGCGCGACATTAATTGAAAACGTATAGTTTCGCTTAAAGTAATGCTACTGAAAATGTAAAAATTGTAATTAATTGTATTTGGTATGCATATATACAATATTTATAAACTGCAGATTAGTATTTATAGATTTTCGAGTAATTGGTTTTCGCTGATTGTCAATTTCCAAAATATTTTTCATACAATTATGATCAACTATAAGAGTTTCATTTAACTATTTGACAGATTTAATTTTTATAAATTAACGTATATATATATATATATATATATATATATATATATATTATAATAATTATCTTGTAGATCCATAATATTATTAAACTACATTAAAATATCACGATCTGATAGAAATAATTGCATTGTCGTGTTTCTTATAAAAATTATTAATTTAAAATTCAAGCGAAAAAGATTACATTACAAGCTTAATTAATACTTAGTAATTTATCATAATGCCGCTTTTTCCGTGAAATATTAACAATTTACTTTATGGAAATCTGCATTCAATCCAAATTTAATAATTTACATTAATTTTCCCTCTTAGAGTAGTCGAGTTTTTCATCACGCTACTCATAAATATTTATAAAACACATAAAATAAAGGAACTATATTTTATTGCGTGTCTACTTTACTTATCCAAGTAATCGCCATATAGTTCGAAATAATTAAAACTTAAAGATTCATAATTCGTAATTTAAGCTAACGATAAAAAAGTGCAATATAAAATTAAGAAAATATAAAAATTTCATCATTTAATTGCAATATAATTAATATTAAATCTCAATATTAATGGCTTCAAGATCTTATTATCTTATTATGATTTAGTGTCGCAAAATAATTACGATTAATAATTTAATGAACTAATTATATTGCTTTATTAACAATTTATTTTGTCTAATGAATGAAAATAGATTGAAAACATTCGGTAAATATAAAATGTTTGAAGTAACAATTTCATTATATCTTTACAGCTTCGATGGACAGTCAGATACCATTGATAATTTATAAAACTTTTCTAAACACTTTATTGTCAACTTTTTACAATAAAAATATATTTATTTGCATTGTTTAATATAGTAATCGTACGAAACAAAATCTTATCTTAATAATATAATATTGTATTTTTTATTCATTATATAACTTCTATCCAACGTGATTCATAAGCTACGTTATTGAATTCACTACTTTGAGATTGTACAATAATCAAATATATAGAAAGAACAATAGCCAGGTTATATATCACAATCGGTATTATAGAAATAACTACTTTGATAATAATAAATAACCAAATATGCATATTAACAGAATTAGATTAGTTTATCTATTGAATTTTATTTTTTTTTTTTTTTGTTTTTTTTTGTTTTGTTTTTGTTTGTTTTAATCCTATCAACACTTTCACTATTACTTATTTATCAATAAAACAAATATATAAAGCATTAATGTACAGTGTGTATAAAAATATACTATGAGTAGCATGTCGTAGTAGACTAGAAAATCGTCTTCGTTTTTATGTAAAAAAAAAAAGAAGAAAAGAAAAAAAAATGCAAATAATAGTAATTTCCTTGTTGTTCCCTGAAAATTTCTGTCAAAAAATAAATAACGGCAGTTCTTTTTTTTTTTTAGATAAGCATGGAGCACGATTCATTTAATTTCAAATGATATGAAAGGATATTTGGTTTGTGGAAAAAATCTTTTATTTATCCTATGCTTTAGCCAAGTGTCATAGCAAAGTTTAAGAATACGGTGAGCTTTTAACTAGAAATTAGTTAGTTCTCCGTGAAAATTTCATTGACAAACAGAAATTATGCAACTGCCGAGCTCTGACAAGTAAATAATAAACGATCGAATGTATGTCCATAATTTTGCACAGCGCTTACGTTGATAAAATATAAAAATATTTCCTATGAAAATATCAGTGTTGTGATATTACTGAGACATTTCATTGATGAGAAAGACAATAATTTGACAAATATAATTATGCATTTAGTCCTTCATTTATAAATTATGAGTTTGAAAATTAGATATAAAAATAGGCGAAAACTATTTAAATTATAATTTTGTGTATAAAATTCCGAAACCTTTCAAATATAGTGTTATTTATTTTACATTAACACATAAATCTTGTATAGCAAATACTTGTAATAAATTAAGAATTTTGAAATATAAATCCTAGTATGTACAATAAACTGCATTTGCAAATTTTTTTTTTTTTTAAGTTATGTAATGTTAATTGAATATAACTTGTTTATTCATTTATTACAAGTATTTAAAAGGAAGAGTATTTATTTTTTGATAAGAATTTTTATACATAAATTAAATGATAAATTAGTTTAGGTATTTAAAATATTTTTTTTTTTTTTTTTCAAAATAAAATTAACATTATAATATATGTATATTTAATCAAGCAAATTTAATAATTTGATGATTAAGGGACATAAAAGTACATTTTATTTTTATTTCTTCTATGTCGATTGTTATGAAAAATTTTTACAATGCTTCTATTTATTTTGATTATTAATTTATTTTAAATTTTAAATATATTTACAATTTTTTTTTTTTAATAATAAATATTGATTTAGTGACCTATTGACCCAATGTGATGTAATATATATATATATATATATATATATATATATATTATATATTAGAAATTGAAACAATTTTTGACAATTTAATTGTAAATCACAGAATAACAAATTAATTAATTAACAAATAATTATCATTACAACACTTTTTGTAATTCAATTTTTTTTTCTAAGTTGTCGTATTTTGACAAGTAATACGGAATTTTTTATCCTATTGAGTAGATTGTAAAATATCGTATATCATTTGAACATACCAACACATCGATCCGGTAATGATGAATTTATTGCGATTTTGTTAGAGTTTATATAATTGAGTTTCTTTGGACGGTTAAAGAATTATTTTTTTTTTTTTTTTTTTTATCGCGTATGCACGAAATTTCCATAAAATTTAGGAAAACGTCGCGTCGTTTCACGACTCTTAACGAGTACTTTAAATAATAAATCCATTGATAAGAAAGTTTATATAAATATACATGTGTCGAATTTATCTAAATTTAATTGCGACTTACACAGCTAGCGCATTTTTATAGCAAAATATAATATTTTTAACCTGGAGTAAACGTAATATTTTAAGGAAATGATAATTCAATATATTGCTAATGAGTTGTATTTATGTATAACAATATCAATATTATTTATATAATTTTAAAAATACATGTTACAAGCGCTATTTTGTACATACATAAATATCGACGGAAAAGACAGTATAATAAATATACTTGATGATACTTGTTTATTAGTAGGTCATATTCTCATCATTTTCTAGAATAATGGCAACGTTCCATTAATAATCGATCCATTAGGATCAACCTTTTTTCAGGTGTATAGGAAAAGTTTTTTGCTTACTTAAAGAAATGCTTTATTTATACTTTGTAAAAAATTATGGAATTCTCAAATATGAAAAATGAATGATTGAGTTTACGGAAAATTGCACGACCCATTTTAGAATTTTTTAATGTTATTAACATTATTATATCTCATGATATAACATGATATGACTTATGTGAATAAGTGAAAGGCACGCCAACTGATACATTTTTGTTGCGATATAAGACAATAAATGTTTTTATAAACTAGTCCAATTACTGTCAGCTTGATGCTGTGATTGGTCTTTCGATCTGCGCTTAATTATTTGTCGCTGATGTTCATATTCAAAATCCTCCTCGTTTATATTCAATTTTTGAATCTGAATTTAGCAAAAGATACATTAGCATTATTTCATTGTTAAGTAATTGAGATGAAATTTCTGCAAGTTTCTTACATGATAAACAAGATATTCTTCTTCCATTATTGACTGTGGTGGATTTTTTAAAATCTGCAATGTTTCATACAATGTTGGACATTTTCTTGTTTGGCCGGATCTTCCTAAACAGCCTTTTAATAAGACAAGACCAACTTTGAAAATAATTTTAACTCCTTCGCAAAGAAACATGTCCCAAATACGAAGAATACTTTCCCAGGGTAGAGTTCGAGTATAGACGCATAAGAACCACTCCACCATGTAAAGAATTGGTTCCATTTTTTGCTTTTTCTAATAAATTAATTGAAAATTTAATACATTAAAGCATTTATTATTAATTTATTAATGTAATTTATTAATTTATTAATTCAATGGCCCTGAAAAATGTTAAAATAATAGTCCTTTTTTATATTTACATGTATGAGTCAAATAATTTTAAACTTTTACGTAAAATGTGTTTACGCAAAAGTTTTAGAACGAGAAGAAAAAATTTTTAGGTGGAAAATATATTTTAACATTTACCAAATGCTTATAAGCTACTGGCGACACTTTTTTGAGTAAGGCAAACAGTATGTCCCCGTCTCGTTGTAAAGTTTCCATTCCATGGCTATAATAACCAACGAGATACTTGTCGCAGATAGCGACTAGACACCAAAATGCTTGAACGGCTGGCATGTGCATAAGTAAAAAGGCAGCTATGGGTGCTTGAGCTTGACAATATCCAACTTTGGTATTTAAGATCGAATAAGCTTTGAGAATTTGGAAAAGCTCTTGCTGACCAGGGGCATTTTCAACAAACATTTCATGATGTGGAAACTGACGATGCAGGTCTTTCTTTATATCATCGATATATTTTGGATCTCCCGGGCGTTTGATTAATTCTTGATATAGATTTGGATTTTCTTTTAATAGAAGAGCGCCGCCGCATAGATTTAACCAAGCTCTAGGACGAACGGAAGGTGGAATACCTTTCCTACATCGTTCCCTCACTTTACGGTAATTTGTACTCATAAATATGCTCCATTTGCTAAGCATCCTTATCCATTTCCTCTCTCTTCTAAGAATGACTTCTGGCGGTATCGCTTGCTTTCTAAAACAAGAAACGTAACGATAAAATGTAGAACACGCCAAAGCTTCTCTACGTTATTGCACTGTGTGGAAAATTATACCTTTCGGGACTATACTGCGAGCCACCGAGAAATCCATGTCTATCTGGAACGGTGGATATTACAGAACTACACTGATAAATGCTACTTCCTTCCGACTCTGATTCTATGTTTGTGTCTTCCTCGGTGTTCCGTGGCACCGAGGCAGCCATAGCATTCTTTTAATTTTCTTACAGAAATGTCTTAATAAAAATTATTCTTAATTTTTGGACCCTCGATTACTTAAACTTCCCGTATACATTTGACCGTTCTTAAAATTATTTTCTTCCCTTAAATTTATATCGACACTTAATTAACATCCAATTGAACATATCAATAAACAAAACTTACTAAATGCCGAAGAAATGCTGGCTGAATTCGAGACTACTTTAAAAAAAAAAAAAAAAGAAAAAAGAAAAAAAAGGCGTGTACGTCCTAATTATTTGGACATAATTAGATGCAAATAACGCGCGTACAGGTCGTCTCTGTCAATAATACATGCAACAATAATTGCTTTCCCTTCAATACTCAAATGATCTTTCCACACGACGAGCTATCGACTTCCCAACTTTACCGAAACGATCTTCAAAGCACATAAGTCGACGTCCAAATATCTGCTTCAAACTTGTACGCCCAACAACATGAAGAAGCTTATGAAAATATAAACGCTCGATTAGTTCATTAAAACTACGCTGTGCATGACTTTCATCAGCTCTCAATCGGCATTAAATAAAGCCAACACCATCCGCGGCAGACACGTCTAGTCGTTCGTCCCTTTTCTTTTTAACCTTCAGTTTTGTTTTCCTTCCGTCAATGTGTTATCAAACTTATCACGACAATTTGACGTTTCAACATAGACTCAGTATAGCCTGAGCGAGCATCTGTTGGTCGAAACGCTCCTGTAGTCAAAGAGGTGGGCGCGTTTCAGAGGGAACTCTGTCTTTTTCTAAAAATATCATGGAGGGGACTCGGCACTGCAAATCTCAAGCTTCCACTTCTCCTAGAACCAAATCGGCAGCTATAATATACAAACATAGAAACGAATATTATAAATTGTAATTTTCGCATCGATTGGTCCTTATCTTACCGCGGATTTTAAAACATACCAGCTCGCTATTACGTTCGATTATTATTATCATCATCATCATCATCATCATCATCGTTATCTCATTATCGTTATAAATTCAAGCTTACATTAGAGTTAAAATTCCCTTACATCTGATGCATCTTTTTACGCTGTGAAGGCAGGACGCACAGTGCGCGCACAATTTATCGGACAATTTATTCGACCCATAAATATAAATTTACCCATAGACGTACAAAAATATATGGAAAATTATTTATCTATATCTCTCTTTCACTTTTCTTATTTTTTTCTTCTTTTTTTTTCCATTATCGGCTTAGCAAAACTAAATTGGCATTATTGCGTATTACAAACGAAAACTTTTTAAAATATTATTCATAGTCTTAGATTAATGGTGTTTTAAACAATAATATATCACTCGTCGCTTACATAGGTTTTCGATACATTCAGTCATATTGTGAAAAATCACATACTTTGTTTAATAAAGCATTCACAAAGAGACTCTTGATTGGAACTATCCGTGTATGCGATTAGTATTCAATACTTTTTGCTTTGTGATGTTTATTAAATAAGCGCTATGTATGCAGAATATATATATATATATAAATGAAGTAATCAATATAGGTAAATATTCCGTGAGACATTATAGTGAAATTGCAAAAAATTTTAAAAATTTGTGAATGTTAGGAAGCAATAAAATAATTAAAAAAAAAAAAAAAAAAAAAAAAAAAAAAAACATTTATATACAGATTTTGATTTTCGAGCGAACGACGTGAAATCATCAGTGTGTGAAAAGAAAAAAAAAACACCTAAACGTATAAAAATCTTTTCATTCCTTTTTGCACTCATAACGAAAATATAATAAACCTTTTCAATGAATAGAAGCAAAATTTTTTATTAAAACAGCACAATGTAGTGAGATGAGAATGACGATGGCGAATGTATAAAGCTTACGGATATAATTTCATTATAATTCAATCTTAATAGTTTAAAACTTTATTTTAGGTTAAAGTATTCGGTAGATTTTTTAATTTTAAGCTAGAAAAATGTTATTTTTCAATTAACTTGCAAACAATGGCCAAAAAGCAGCTCCTTATCTTGTGACGTACATCGAGTACAAGGAAATTTTATTAAATACTTTTGAGAATATCCAAATTACATTTGCCACACAATCTGGAATGTCTATATCCAAAATTCATTTGTATTTTAAATTAAGATCGCCTTTTCTTAAATATCTCGCATATTATTTTACGAATGAGTAATTACAAATAGTTTTAAGTTTTAACAGTTTTATGAGCAGCTTATCGTACGTATCTTCAATGATACAATTGAGTTTTTCAATAGAAATTCTTTGCTTTTAGCGATAGTGGGCTACGATACAATATATACTTAAATTTTCAATTTCATTTACGCGTTTGGATTTTTCGATAATTTTAATAATAACGATACAATAGACGGAGTTTCTTTAAATTCTTACCAAGTATTGGCGCACCACTCTTCGCGCACTGAAAATTTATCAATATAAATGATGGTAATCGAGCAATTGTTAAAATTAAAAAAACGATTTGCACGTTCAATTGTTTTCAAAAAGTATTTTCGTTAATCCTAACCTTTCTACTCTTATCCATTATTGACAAGTCTTCGTTGTCATGGTTACATATAATATAATTATTTAGCCATTGTTAAGAAATAAAATTATGTCTTAATAAAATCAATTTTGTTTGTAATTTTATGTTATAAGTAGAAGATAAGACGTCGCTGCATTATTACGACACTATTTATAACCATTAAATTCAAATATATCTTGATTATTTCATTTGTCATACGAAAGAAAAATAAATATTCATTTGTTTAACGAGAGTCTATACAAAATAAGTCTGTTGTATATTGAATAGTTAAATATCTTACTTATTATTATTATTATTATTATTATTATAATTGTTTATTATTTTATTGGAAGTATTTTACACGTGCCTTAAGAATTTCAATTTATCCGAGTTTCATAATCGATTTCCTGCCAATAAAATTTTATTCTACATTCATTAAAATTAACGTACAACAGGTCTGTTATAAAAAAAAAAAAAACTTGTAAAAAAACAAATACTTTTGCCAAATTTATTTCTAGATTGTCCACACTTTGATATAAAACTACTTTTAACTTAATATAACGAAGACTGGCTTTTGTTTAAACTTTCGATTAAAATTTCTTTTCACGGAAAATTCTGCAGCGTCTACGTTCTGTTCGTTCGACTCCATTACATAGCGTTAAAAATTGCAAAATTTTCTTTTTCAAATTTTCATAACTTTAGCAATCAAGAATATTTATATTTATAATAATACGATGGATATTATGAAAATTGCCTCTTACCAACGTTTAATTCACTTAATAGTATTATTATAAATGCATGTAGGATTTCATTTGAATTCACGATAGATTTATGAAATACGCTTGAAAGTCAGTAAAAACTATATTTCGTATTCAATTATAATTCATACATAATTTGCAATATTTAATGGTCGCGCGCACGTTGCCTTTTATATCAAATTACGCCCACAATTTATTCGCAAAAATTAAACAAATCCATAATGATTTCGATATAATTATATGCCATTTAAATCTCTTTTTGCAACAAGCAGATATCAATCGCAACCGACGATCGAAGCTTTAAAGAAAATAGAAGTCAGTCATAATTGTCGAGTTAAAGCATAATTGTCGTATACTATACGAGAAGTATCCATCATAATCCAATATTAATTGATAATTGGGAGAATCGTTTAAATAATTAGAGAAATGTCACGTTTATGTCACATTTATAAAGCACAAAATTTCTTATTTAACTTATAAAACATTAGCGATGCATGTTAAGTATTATAATTACGTGTGGGTATTGCCTGTATTCGAAAAAAAAAAAAAAAAAAAAAAAAAAAAAAAAAAATCAACGACTAAACAATAAACACGATAGTTTCATCTCCTCCTTAAAAATGGATGACGCTAGCCTTTGCAAAAATTCATTAATATCGAGATACGATACACGTGCAACTCATTTTTAAACATTATTTGTGGACTGCTAACTGCTGGGCCTAACTATGCCCAACTAATATCATTTTCTTATCCTTTATTTCTAAGAAAAGCCTTCTTCTGTTTAATTCTTTCTTATATATTTCAACGGCGAGCAAGTATCATTCTTTTTTTTTTTTTTTTTTTTTTTTTTTTTTTTTTAATCTGGCCTACGTGAAACTTCCCGAAAATAAAGATGCCATATTAAAGGGAATGAATTTGTGACGTGTCGTAAGTGGGTAACGATGACAGCACGATATACATCAGTTCCTACTGCTAATTTATTCCTTTACGTCAGATTCCAAGTTCCAGCTTCTTATAAAAATAACTTGTAAAAAAGAGAAAGAGATAAGAAAAGAAAAATAGTCAACATTCTAATTAAAATATGGTGGGTGCGTAGTAATATTATTTAACTTAACGATTTAAGTGTATAATTATTTTGAGTATTGATGATTAAGAGTATGTATGGTACGATGTAAATAACCGGTAAATGCGTGCATTGAAATATAATGAATCTTTGTTGTAATTTATATAATATTCAAGAGTAATTGTTAACAACTAAAATGCCAACCATCCAATTTTTCACTTATACCGTTTATTTTTTTTTTAAAGAACATAATCAAGTGAGATTCTGTTGGCTGAACTGTTTGACATAGTTTTTGCAATCGACTGTTTTTGCAAATTTATTTATGATTAATGCGAAACTTGATAAAAACGTGATAAAAACTGATGATTGCTGCTGTAGGCGGCTTTACACATAGATATCTTCGCAACAAATCGCTTTTTTTTTAAAAGTAAATTATAATTAAAGCAGAAATAGATTAAATAAAATGGCTTGGGTACCGCTGGAATCGAATCCAGAGGTTTGTTAATGAATTTATCTTTAATTTAACGTATCTCCATTGACAAAGTTTGATTATGAAAATTTTTTTTTTTTTTAGGTTATGACAAAGGTAAATCGCCGATTATATGCATTGTCTTACTGTATATTAATAGGAATAAGTACTTGATGTATGTAATATTTTATTTCTTAATTATTATTTTAAGTAGTTTTTGCACAAATTTGGTGTACCTAAAAAATGGGAATTGGTAGATGTTTATGGTCTGGATCCAGAATTGTTAGCGATGTTACCAAAACCAGTTGTATCTCTAATATTACTCTATCCTATATCTCCAAAGGTTGGTTATCAGTATTATCATTATTACATTGTATCTTTATTTTGCATTTTCTGTCAAGGGATTCGTTTAATCTTTTTATTTACTATATTCTATAGACAGAGGTTTTTAAAACTGAATTGGAAAATAAAGAAAAGGAAGCTGGTGCTAATACCGATAATGTTTATCATTTGGTTCAATATGTTTCAAATGCTTGCGGAACGATAGCGTTACTTCATTGCGTAGCAAATAATCTTGATGTGTAAGTATTGAATTATCGAAATTAAACGAGTAAATGACAAATATAGTAAGATAAAAATTATTGATACATTTTATTCCAATACTTATATAAATAAACTAACCGTAAAATATAATATAAATATTGTTAAAAATATTTTATAATTCATTAAATTCAATGATCTTATTTATTAAAATAAAGAGTTTAAATATTACAATGATTTTTTCACATATGAAAATATATATATTCTATAAATTGGAGGCAGTTTATTTATTGTATAAGTAGCTCAAATAAATTGTAGATAGTAACTTAAAAGAAAAAATAATGATAAAAATTTGTCAGATATTTCATTGCTTTTCAATTATTTATACATTTATGTGGACAAAATTACCTGCACTATTTAATATAGTTCGTTGTAAATTTTGTTATTTAAATTAAAAAATAAACTTACGCTTACCTAAATTAGATAACGAGTAAAATAATAATTGGTGGGGATAAAATATTTTTTTATTCTCAATAATAAAAGTTTCTTTTTTATTGTTTTATTATTGCTTGTGCAGAATCGAGCTTGCGGATGGAGATCTGAAGAAATTTTTAGATGAAACCAAAGATTTAACTTCCGAGAAACGAGGTGAAAAGTTAGTCGAAGCTCAAGGCATTAGTAGTACTCATCAAGATTTTGCCCAAGAAGGACAAACCGAGGTAAGCAGTGCGATTAATTTTATTTATTACAATGATGAATGATAAAGACATTTATTATTTTGGTTTCTTAATTCATAAAAAATTTTATTATCAGGTTCCAAGAGAAGATGAAAAAATTATTCATCACTTTGTAGCATTTGTTGAAAAAGATGGATTGATATATGAGCTCGGTAATTTTTAGCACAATAATCCATTACTTTTACAAGTTTAATAAGTATAATTAACAAATTCTTTCGATTAAACAATAATTTTTGTGAATTTTACATTTAGATGGCAGAAAGCCATATCCAATTAATCATGGACCATCAAGTTCAGAAACGTTCCTTGAAGATGCTGCTCGCGTCTGTCAAGAATACATGAATCATGATCCCGAAGAAGTTCGCTTTACTATGATTGCTCTTGTATCAAACGAATGAAGTTTACGCAAGATAATTTATTTTTGCATCTCATTATTCATTAATTTTTCGACTGTGCTTAAGATTTTCTTCAATGTATTTGTTTCGTCAATTTATCGAAATTGATATTGAGTGGACGTTTGGAAAAAGCTTTATATAATGTGCTGTACAAAAGAAAACAATTAATAATCCATTTTAAATATCTTGGAAATTAAAAAATATATTTTAGCTTAAAGCTAGATATAATAAGTATTGATTTTTATTATTTTTAAAATTTTTATATGAATCGTGTATATTTTTATCTTGAATATCGATAATTAAAATGATACGATTTCTATAATATTGTCTGTTTCCTTTATCTTTACAAACATTAACGTCTTTGTATAAAAGAAATTTATAATTTTCATTTCTTTTGTAACAACAACAATGACTTAACTAAGAACAATAAATCTAAAAATTTTTATATTAAAATATGCGTTCTACTGATAGTTTTTGTACATTTTTTACATAAGCACCTTGTAAGCCTACATATAGAAAAAACGAGTATTAAACGAGCGACTTTTACATTGTAATATAATTGTTATTATGATAATAATTGATCAAAAAAACGATGTCATTAAAACTACTTAATAACAATTATTGCTTTATCCAGGCTAGAGGAATGCACGACTTGGATTTAACCGCTATTTACCTTTTCAGATTTTACCATAGAAATTAATACATTATTTAAAATAATTTTTATGCATTTTTTATGTACATAAATTACATCATTAGCATCGAATTCACCTTGTTTTTCTCATGCGTATTGCTCATACGAAGCATTATTGTTGAGGCATTTAAAAGATGAACTGTGATAGGATAATCGCAACTAATCCTCCATCCCCTGCAAGAGAAGAGTACGTAAGTGGATCGTTATTTTACACTTGAACCTTATCTATTGGCCATTCGCATCGATTTACGATAGATCGTATTAAAGTTATAATTGTCAATTTCGTATCGTACACACATAGAGAAAACGACGATAAAATATTTATAAATTCTCTTGATTGATATAAAGTATAAAGTTGTTGTTGTTGTTGTTGTTGTTTTTTTTACTATTCTGCACATAAATGTGGTAAATAAATATTCGCAATTAACAGTCTACGATATAGCTTCGATTCCAAATCAGTAGTGTTTTGTTCGTTTTTGTTTCATTGGTCGATCGGTTCCGAATCCCACTCTTCCCTTCCGTCCTCGTCAGATCTCTTACGAACCCTTACTACTAAATGCCTTCAAAATCTGTGTGATGCTCTCGTAGGTGCCAGTGACGCAACCAAGGAGCCCAATGAGTAGTATGAAGACGTCCTTGATGACGGTAAATTTGCCGAGGGTCGCGTTCTGCCAGCAGACGACGATCTCGATGATCGGTGGGATGAGGAGAGCGAGGGCGGTGCTACTTACCGCCCCGACCAGCGAGATGAAAAGTCCAAGGTGGGGGATCGCCTCCGCGAGAACAACTGTCGAGGTAAGCGCGATAATGAGATTAAAGATATTTACAAAGATCTTATGCTTTAATGCGTAATCACGGCAACACCACGAATTTACCATTCAAACTCGTAATTATCATTTTAACGTTCTGCTCGAGTAATATCCAATTATCGTAAAATAATTAAGCTTCGCGTGCTTTCATGCTTGAAAATGCGTGAAAATAATATCGAGTTTAAGGCCAACTGTTATACATTAACTGTTCATCGGGAAAATCCCTCTATCGTTTTAAGAACGGATGATGAGACGATCAAATTTCTCTTAATTAATCACTCGCCATAATCGTCTCTTCGACAGCTTATTATTGTACATATTGAAAATGTAACTATGAAACTTACAAGTTAAAAAGCAGAGTGTCGTTCGGAACATGATTTCTCCAGCGACGGGCCAACGACATGGACCAAACTGTCGCTCAAATTCGGGCCACATAATTGCGATTGGTACGTAAAATTGAAGGGCGTAGGTCAGTAGAATGCTTAATGATATGGCAATTTTTATACATTGAGGTAGACTGAAAATTCAAAATCATTATTAATTGAGATACGGTTGCGAGATTATGTCAGTCTAAAAGGACCAATCCTAACATTATTCGCATTACGTGGACGATTTTGCTTTTCAGTTGTGTACACTGACACAATTCCTTATTTACATTATTAATGATTATATGTAATTATTGGAAAACTTGATGGTAATAGTACAGTTTATTCTTTGGTTTTTTTCGTGTTTTTTTTTTGTTTTTTTTTTTGTTATTTTTTTTGTTTTTTGAAAACCGTTACACGCTCCAAGCAAAGTATCTCCGTGAAATAATGTTATTTAGCTTTATGTAGGTACGAAGTTGTTATCGCTTAACAAAAATTTCTATATAATTGAATCATACAACTTTTATTTAGATCTTATTTCGGTAGAGAATGATATAATGATTAGCACGAAACTTTTTTCTTCGTTTTTCTCTTTTAATGCAATATCAATTTCCAGCATGCAAAAGTAAGAAAATTGTAAATAAACTTAATAAACTTAATAAACTTAATATATATATATATATATATTATATATATATATACTATATTATATATATATATATATATTTATATATATATATTATACATATATATATATATATATATATATATATATATATGTCTTTTTAAAAACTACAACAAACTTAAATAGAGAATTAATAATTAATATTTATTACAATTAACATTACTCTATTTTATTATTATTATTATTGTTATTATTATTATTGTTGTTGTTGTTGTTGTTGTTGTTATTATTATTATTATTGTAATTGTTATTGTCGATATTGTTATTTTTTTCAAAATCCAAATACTTGTCATGCAATATAATTGAAAATTCCACCACGCATATGTAACTTATTTACTATTCATGTAAAAATAAGGGAAATAGCTTGAATGAAAATTTATTTCAAATTCTAAACGATCGTGTTTTTCAATCTTAAAATATACAATATTAAAATAATTTTATTAGTATCCGATTACTTTAAATGCAATTGACAAAATAGGTTTGGAAATTTTTCAATAGCTCAACATTTCAATAAATTTTCATTGCCTATTATTAAATAAATGAGAGCGTGTTAATATCAATTTAATTAATTTGTAAATGTCAGAAGCGTTACAAATTTATGATTAAGCTTGCATATCTTAACGAATATCATGCTAGCATACGTCTAACTAAAAGTTTAACAATAAATATTAACCTGGAGTTGAAACTATATCCATCCTGTAATCTTTAATAATAAATAAAAATCGTACCTTTAGTATTGAATAGATATTAATATTAAAAGTATATTTCTTATTAATATTGAAAGTATGAGTGTCGTTGTGATTAATAAGCTCTCAAACGATTAATAATGAAACGTGGTTGAAATTGTTTATACGTGTGTGAAAAATTGCATTTACCGCATCAAAAAAATGAAGAAAAAAATATATATATATATACACAAGTATCACATACACGTTGTGTTATGTAAATGTTGTGAAAATTTTATGTTGCGTATTGAGAAAATAGTATTATAGTAAAACTGTACTGACGTTTCCGATTTGGGTTCGAGATTTAATGTCACCGACCCTTGAATATTGTCGCCATACTTCAGATACGCCAAGAAGCCAAGAACGACGAACATCGCGCCGACAATGACCATTCCAACATTCAATACACCCATTGGCTTGTCAAAGTTCTTTGGTTTTTTCATTTCATTTTTCAATGGCAACACCTACAAATTTCATAAAAAAAAAAAAAAAATATCCGTAATTATTAACGGACGTATGAAGAAACGAGATAAGGATGTAAAAATATCGTTCCTCTTGAAAGTATGAATAATTATATCTATCTGAGTCTATAGAAAGGAAAGTAAATCATATTTACAAATTTAATCGAGATAAGTGTACATTGCAGTTTTATAAATTGAAATAGCATAGTGTAAATAAAACGAGAATTAATGATATTCGAAACGCGAAGAGGAAAAATCGGTCAAGTTCTTATGAATTTTATACTGGTTCGTTTGTTTTAATTTTTTGTTTTGTTTTGTTCTGTTTTGTTTGTTATTTATTGGATATAATAAAAATTTACATACTTTTATATTTACAAATGGTGCTATAAGAGAGGTAAAAGAACATCTGTGACATTGCACAATCGAATACTATATAAGTGTGCATGAAAATTCATTTAAACAAAAGATTCCAATAATTGTTATTTTAAATATGAGCCGCTGAACTTGTTGGCATAAAGAAAAAAAAAAAAGAGGAAGAAGAATTTTTATCACGTTATGTCCATTTATTACTAAGCTTTTAATTTTATTCTCTATTTAAAATGTAAAAATGTCAATCCACCGAGCCACATATACAATTTGCATTGGCACTATGCGCGACGATACTATCAGCCTCGCCCATGCGTATTGTCATTATCACACTGAAAATAATGATCCACCGGCTTAAAGGAGCGACGAAGAATCTTACCAAAGTGATGCCCTCGAACGAGTAGATGACTGTACCGAAGAAGAGCGGCAACATATTCCAATCAGCAACGTATCGGCGCTCGGATATGCTCGGCAGATCGTGACACATTATGTAGATAGTCGCGATGTAGCCCGAGAATATGAGGATATTCGCAAACGAGGAAAGCGGTACGAGGAACTTGAGATTGCGTATCCACGTACTTAGCATCATTGGTATCAAGACCAAGACCATGTGGATGTGAAGGTCGAGGTCTATGCCCCAAACCTCCACGACCTGCGAACACACATCAGCATGAACATATACGAGAGATAAGCAGATTCATAAAATTTTGGCTCCATCTCCATAACGATATTGAAAATGGGAAAATCATACGTAACGAGAGATTTTATTTGTGAGGTTAATGATTTATTTAAAGGTTAAAGGATTAGTATCAACGACTCCACAATCGTAGTTACATAGTTAATTATTACTAACAATATTGTTAATTGTCTATATATTTTTAAGAAAACATTATTTAATCATAATTTTTCCGACATATAGTTGTTATTGTTTTTTTTTTTTTTTTAATTTTTTAAATTTATTTTAAAATAAAATTGTTACAGATTCATTATTATTTAGCCTCATTTTAATAATCGGAATTTTATTTAACCAATTACAGTATTATCATCAAGCATTCTCTTAATATTTCTTCTTAATAATTCTCAAGGCTAAATAACAAAAGAATCTGTAACAATTTTATTTTATTAAAAAAAAAACCATTATTCTTTGTTTAAGAGAATGTATTTTATAGTTTTTTTTTCTATTTTCGATTTTCTTCACTTTTTTTTTTTTTTTTTTTTTTTTTTTTTTCATTTCAAACTATACAAATTGAAAAATGTGACAATATATTTAATAAAAATATTCACGGCAAACAAAAATGAGTTTTAAAAAGTGAAAAAAAAAGACAATATTATAAAAATAATTTATATTTGTAAACGATTATTCACGAAATGGTTTATAATGACGAGAAGATTATGTAGAAAGAACGCCAGTGCGGCCAAAAATAAATCTCACCTGCTGCATATTCGTAGAAATAAAGACAAAATAGACACAGCAAAATCCAAGTTGCGTAACGCATAGAAACAGATTAACTAACTTTCTGGAAAGATAGAAAATAACAATCTTATAGTGGAAATTGTCAATTTGGCGTATAATGTTAAAACGTGCGTTTCCAATCATCTAGATATTCTTCGAAAAATTAAAATATTCGTATAGTTTTCATTCATAATATTATGGATTTTAGTGGATAAATTTTAACTTTCATAATTCAAATAAATCTGTAAAATGTAAATTTCATACAATTATTTGCGATAAGTGAATACAAATAAATATTTATAAAGAAAAGCATTATTGAATCAGACGAATGAGGTATGGTAAAAATTCAAGTTTAAATAAGATTTGAATATTATTTTTATGGAAATACATTTCTAGATGCATTAATTATTAGCATTTATTATAAACAATATTGTCAATAGAAACACAAAAAATGTTGATATTTTAAAACAAAGATTATAAATATTATTGCTAGTTAATATTAAATTTATTTATTGAAAAGCTAAAATCTGACCTTTCTTGTCTAAAAAGAAAGAGAGAAAAAATTATTATTATCAATCTTTTATAATCAATATAATCATTAATTTGCATCAAATAATTCGAGTGAAATGTCAGGCTGTGAAAATATAATCTATTAATTTAGACTGATTGGGAAATTTTGATGAAAACTTTTCATCTGCTTTGAAAACCAATTATTATTATTGTATAATAGAAATATAATGGAAATATGTTTTAGCGCGTAAACCGAATTCTTTATGTGAATATTAACCGAACAGATGACCACATATGAAAAATATAGCCAATTATTTAAAAATAAAACGACACTAAGGGTATAATTAATTAAATCTATTACGTTGTTAATAGAATTCGATAATTGGATTTGTCACACTGCGACAATTAAGCACTTACCTTTCTAAAGATATTTATATCAAATAAAATTTTTGTAAATACAATTTCCTTTCCGAGCAATGTCCCATGCATTTGGCTTAATCAGCCAATATTGTTTTAATAAAGCTGTGCTGTTAAATTGAATATGTTAATAATATTGTTAATAATTTAACAGCTGTAATTTAAAAATCTTTTATAAAATTATTCATGCTGTTGTATACAATGGAATATTACATTTTTTTAGTTACTAAATAGTCCAGTGAACTTAATAAACCAAGTACATCTTAATATTTACGTATATAAAAGTAAGAATTGTAAGAGACGTAGTGGAAGCGAAGAGTCTAACATGTGCTTAAAAGATGAAAAAAAAAAAAAAAAAACATATACTACTACGTTTCAAAGTAGGAGGGCTATGTGTATAAAAAGTTCGGGCTTACCCGAAATTCTCAAGACAAATGACTTGCACTTAATGTGCGAACATCTGTCTTATTTCATAAATTTACGATCCTAACTACCCATGGCAGCGAGCGTCGTCAATTCTCGCGTGTTTCCTGATCAGAAAGAAAAATCAAGAAAAGCCATAGGCACTGCTCGATGACGCCCTTTACGACTAATCGCGGCTCCATTGCGGGTCCATCTAACGACCAATGATTCAGCAGCGACTTTAGCGATTGCGGTACGACTTACCTCATGAACACTGCGTACTTCCTGAGGGCAAGTGGACCCGTGGCGAAGCACAGCTCCACCGTCATCGCGTACCCTGGCTGCCTTTCCAAGGAGCTGCCCAGTCGTCGTCTCACTTCCGCGTTGCAGTTCAGCTGGGGAAAGGGATCGAGCTTTCAATTTGCCTCTACGCGGTTACGAGCCTTACGAAGGCTCACGACAACCTGTCACGCGACTTCGATCGCGTCGGATAATCAACCGGTGTCACGTGCTCGGGCATTCGCCACGTTAAATGTTTGCCCATCGGCGACCATCGTTTCTCGTCTTATTCATCGGGGATGTGTCAAGGGAGCATGTAAAATTGCATTCCCGGTACAATTTCACTCGTGCTGAGGCATTCCTCCACCCGTAAGCACAATAAAGCTCGTTCAAAAGCTTGCCAGCATTTTCAATGCTTTCAATTCATTCGGATTATTATGAGAAATCGGCGAAAATTTCAATTCGTATCGCAATTATCCAATGTATTGTACTATTTTAAATATTATTTCTACGTTAAAATAGTATTTCCTCGCATGACAGTCGATTCTTATAAATATTACTTCCTCGAAATATTTTATTTATGAAGGATGCAAATTTCGTAGAAACTCGAATAGTGTATATTATAAAAAGTAATAAAGATTGCAATGAAAACAAAAAAAAACAAAACAAAAAAAAAACAAAAATACATTGAAGATACACGAGCAGATATTAAATGAAGATAATAAATTGTTTTGCCTGCCTATAATAAATAATAGCCTGTAAATTATTAATTTTTATTATATTTCTAGAAATCATCATTCAATTCTAACGAATCGTTCTTTTATTATGAATTAAAATTACTAAAAATATCTCTGTAAATTGTTGAGATAATTCATTCGTAATAATACGTTAAAACGTAATTATAAATATGGCACAGAGCGAGAATACATAACATAACGGCGATACATTATTTCCCTTAATTAATCAATACATTCAATATTTATTAATTATTAAGTAAAATTTTACAAATTGCATTATTATGAAAATGATTTTAAAATTATAACGAATGTATGTTTTGCAACATCTTTGTAGATTGTTGACGTATTAAAAAAATTAACGAACTGGTCAATCTAGTCCTTTTCAATTCAAAATCAATGCAAATTTAAGTATATTCTGACTTCGCTTACTAAATATTTTTGAAATAATGTAAAAAAACAAACGAACAAACAAACTATTTAAATGAAATTTATCATCAGCTTAATATTTAATGTTGTATGCCAATCTTAAGTAACCATTTTTTTCTCTTAAGTTTCTCCTTCTTTCTTTTGAAAACCAATAATACGGAATTTATGAATGACGAATGCTCGAGGCTATAAAATTTTTTTTTTTCATTTTAAGCATTCACCCACTGACTAGAGCGTTACTGAAAATTTGCATAAACACCTAATGGATAAATAAAATGTTAATAAGTTATTGATTTTAAAGAGAGAAAAATTGATTGAAAATTCATTTGTTAATTAATTTTATTTGCCATTATACCTTTATTCGTTAATTTAATTTTTTCTTTTTCTTATTTTATTTATTTATTTATTTTTTTTATTTTATTTTTATTTATTTATTTATTTATTTATTTTTTTTTGCTTGTATTCCTTACTTTCATTCAAATCTTATATTCGCGTATAAAAATAAGCTCTAGTCAATAACGTGAAATTACTTTATCGACTTGCCGTATATTGATTCACCATATTTGTTTATACAGATGTTATAATAACATAAACGTTTCCTTAACGATAAACATGTCCGTGCCCATAAAAGCCTGTTGTCCAATAAGTCAGTTTATTTAACTTTAATCGCTCGCGATTTCAAATGATCCCATAATCGGCGCATTTCTATCTCATTTCTTTGGCACATTATAATTCATAAATAAGTGTTCCTAATAATCACTAATAACTGACCAGTCACATTATATAATTAACATTTAATAAACGTTGGCTAATTTCGCGTACAATACTATCGCGGGTACAACGCTTTTTACAACTCCCGAATGAGTAATTCTTTATTCGGAATGCAATTGCGATAACAATCAAGTTATAAATTTGTTCAAATATTTATAATGTTCATCCATATGGAGACAGTGTGTTTAATTCGAAAGGAAATAATACTTGATGATAAAGAGTTATTACGAATGACTTGTATGCATGCGCCGTGTTCAAAATATGTTCGACTTTAATTACAATCATGCCAACTAATAGTAGTTTCGTATATACGTCGGTAAAACTCAAATAGAACACAAATTTTGTCGGAAAGCTATCTTATTAGACGTTAGGCGAGAGATGACGATATCAAGGAGCGTAATAGCTCGCTTAGGGGCATTATCGGAAAAGTCTTGAAAATAATAATTGAGCCGAAAGGGACTCTCATGGGATTGGCTTTCAAAATCATTAAATACATACGCTCGTACGTGAATGAGAGTACATTGTCTCTTAGTATTATCAGCGAAACCAAACGCGCAAAGACCGGCGCAAGCCATTAGCGAGATGCAATTAGTCCTTGAATGAAATTAGAAAGAAGTGGATGTTGCAAAAGTTTAAAGCGAGTAGCGATCGCGCAAAACCGCGAGCATAATTACGTACGAGTATGTGCTGGGCATGAATGCAAATAACGCCGAGGAATATTGTGAGTGGTGGGGCGAGCAGAAGACCCGCGTTTTTGAAAGCGTCGCCAAGCGCAAACATGCCAGAGCCAACGTTGCACTTAAAGTGGTGCATCAGGGTCTCTATGTACCTAAAACAGACATTTATTTCTCGTTAGTGAGCGACGCCGTTCGTCTATTAATACCTTCGTCCGCTGCCTCTTGCAAAAATAATAATAATAATAATAATAATAATAATAATAATAATAATAACAAACAATAACAAACAATAACAAATAATAATAATAATAATAATAATAATAATAACAAACAATAACAATAATGATAATAATAATAATAATAATAATAATAATAAACAATAATAAGAATAATGATAATAATGATAATAATAATGATAATAATAATAATAATAATTATTATTATTATTATTATTATTATTATGATGATGGTGATGATGATGATGATGGTGATGGTGATGATGATGATGATAACAACAACAACAACAACAACATCGACAATAACAGCAGCAGCAGTAGCAAAGATAACAACAATGCTAACAACAATAACAAGTAACGGAGTAATCGTCTTAACGTTGCATCACGACTTTGACTTAAGGAGCGCGTAATTTTAACGTATCGATATAACGAAACACTTCCCCTCCCCCAGTCTTTATCTAATTTTTAAGATCTATTTGCTTCCTTTCATTCCTTCGTCCCATTTATCTAAGGCTTTCGTGCGCGCGCGCGAATCCTTTTTTTCATAAGATAAATCTAACTAATTGCCAAGGCCGATCAATGGCGTTTTTCCAAATTTCTACAGACTCGCGAAGATATTTTCCATTTGTTGCCGGTTTTGGTAAATAACACGTGACGACTCGAGATATACCTCGTCGGAAGATGTACTCGCTTTGGTAATGCTTAATTAAAAAAAAAAAAAAAACAAACAAACAAACAAAAAACGATCGTTTACAATTCATCGACGACTTTAGATTACATGGACTAACGGTCATTGGTGAGCAGCGTTGGTGGCATTCATTAACGAAGTTGCACATAAGATAAAAAGTATTTCATCCAATATTATTTATGAGGCTCGAATTGAGGTAATATTGATTGTAAACATCACGAGTGCCCGTAATTTTCTTATTTACGCTTATAATTTTATGTCATCGGTAGCACCCTCTTCTATTCTAACATCCTACTTCTATTCTGTCTCAGATTTCCTTGTCAGCCGCTGCCTGCGCATTATTACCACCGACGTTGCGCTTTAATCGAGGTCGGCGAAACCTCTTGCATCTGCTCGTGCGGGACTTCCAGACTCTGTAAAACTTCACGCCGCCTGCCTGCACTTACGAGGTCGAGTGGTTCGATCCTGTGGCGTGTCCATCGCCGCCCCCGCCACTCAATGCCTCCACGTCCTTATCCAGCTGCAGTATCGGATCCTTCGATTGGAAAGCTCCGAAGCCACTGCCGTTCCTGCACATAATACATTATCTCTTCGTAATCGACTTCGTTCAAAATTCTAAGCGCGCATTGCATATTTTTGCCTTCTCGATTCTCAAAAATGACTTCTTAGATTTTAAAATGCTTGCTCAGCGATAAAGGATTGTTTGTACAAAAATTAATACACTATTGCTTCAGCATGCCATAAAGATTAGGATTTTATGATTTTCGGCTTTAAGAATTAAATTTAAGCAAATTTTTAATAAAGTTCGCACTATTTGTTTGAGAATTTTTTTTCTTCTACTTTTATGTCAAGTTGTTCTTAGTTAATGCCATCGATTCCATTCCACTGTTTCAAACACACAAATTATAACGTTTAATATATATATATATAATAGCAATAGGCTCGTCCAAGCCTATTGATAATGAAGAGAGAGAGAGAGAGAGAGAGAGAGAGAGAGAGAGAGAGAGAGAGAGAGCTCTTACCCAGTCGGATCATCATCTTTGGTTGCAACATCTTTGGTTGATGATTTTGTCAGCTTATCCGGCGAATCTTGAACGGCCTTTGTATGCAATTCCATCTAGAACGACAGATAAGTTGAAACGAGTATCTAATGGACAGTATTTTATAATAACTATTTTATTTGGCTCTAGTATGCATTAATTTGAATGAAAAGTGATGTTATATTGCTTATCCGTACTTATTTAAGGTTAATTTGGGTTATTGGGGTTATTGGGGTACACACTGAAATGTTGCATATTGTTGAAATATACATAATATGAATATTCTATGAATGAGTGACTAATATACGCAAGATACTTGGAAAATATCTTTTCTTTGATTAATATAAGAGATATTTGTCCAAGTTTTTTGCTATATAAAACTTAAAATCGTATAAATCGCTTCGACGTCGAATCAACGTCTGCTTTTGGGGAATCCAAACACAAGAGCGATTTAGTCTCCGAAGAGGTCGTAAAAATCTTGTTTAACTAAAACTCATATCTACTTATACGATAAATGCTTCTCATTTTACTATTTACTTGCAATTATTTTATCACTTAAAAATATAACAATATAAACTCAGCTATTGAGAGTAGTAGTGTGGTGCGGGTTGGTGGGGTGACGGGGGGGGCGAAGATTATTATAGTAATATATTAAGAATATTATAATGAAAAGCAAAAAATCGTACTAAAAGTTAATATTACACTATGTGGTGTTCATACGAATTTATTAATTGTTTTATAGACACAAACTTTCACTCCACAAAGTTTAAACTATCTATCTCTGTGCGTGAACCGATGATATTCTTACTGATTTCGTTGTACATAACTTGTAACCGTATATAAGTAAAATTTATTGATAAGCGCGATGAAAGTTATCTCCAGTCCCCTTATCAATACAAATAATAAATAAGCGAGTCCTTCGGAAGCTCTTGTCAATAGCAAATATTATCGAACTACAAAATGCAACGGCATTAAAAATGCATTTTACGATATTTATTTAAATATAATGATCGGTAAGTGTCGATCGATTCACTCGGAGAGATTCTCAAAGGCCGTGTTGATCCTTTTAAAGTAGACAGATGATCCTGTCTACTAGGGGGACGCACCGACTCCATATCGGCGATTCGGTTCTGCGGATGTGAGCGCCGGGTCCGTCCGCCCACTCTCAGTGGCTCTCAGCGGCTTTTCTCAGCGAAGCAAAAGAAACGTCGGAGTCCCCCCTCCGCGCCAAAGGCATTTGCACCTAAACGTTATTGAGATCAGATCGATGAATTGTCGTTCCGGCTAATTAACCTAAATTTCACGGCTAATAACGCGATTTATGCACGAGTGCTGCGCGGCCCCGTGCTTTGCGGAGCTTTTTTTCAATCTGCCGTAATGTATAGGATGGAGGAGATAGATTAAGAGTCTCGTGCCAGAGAAAAAAAGGTTAAACATTATTATTAGACGCGCGCTCGTTCCCTTTATTCTTTAATGCTAGAGATACTTGTTTTCTCAGGCTTTCAATGCTCAATTCCCTTCGGCCCATTGAAATATTTTGCCATAAGATTAAGTCGTCTGATCGGCTGAGCTTCATAGGTGGCAAATTCAATTATTACATCCAATTGATTTTATTTATCTGATTGGCTTGTATCTAATGTTTGATAACAAATTACTTGATATTACCAATCCATTGTTATCTCAAAGGCAGCCTACGTATTATGTATGTCAAGCGATTCATAATCCAATCGGAGCTCTGTTGAATTTAGATTAAAAAATAAAAGACTTATTCGCCAACGGAAACCATTCGAGGGACAATATGATAGCGAAATAAGACTTTAAATAAGACCTATGAAATAACGGTTTTATGTGGAGCTTCTCTTTACAATGCCGACACATCGCTCAATTTCATCCGTTAATATTCAATGGAAAAGCTTCGTCCTGTGCACATTTTCAAGCAATTATTTTAATCATCTATTGTATTGCAAACAAGTACATTTACACCAAAGTCCTACCTAATTATTATAAATACAATGGATCGTTAATTTTTCTTTCGGTTCTATCATTATCATTATCATTATCATTATCATTATCATTGTTATCATTATTATTATTATTTTCATTATTTTCATTATTTTCATTATTTTCATTATTTTTTCGTTATAGTATGCTTCTTTTCTTTGCTTTTTAAATTTTACACTCGATATTTAACGTTGCTTATTGCTGTAATTATTCATAATAATGCGAGCAGCATCAGATAAGATATTTATTACACTTTTACCTTACAAAATGGCATTAACATACTTTATAAAAAAAAAAAAAAAAAAAAAAAAAAAAAAAAAAAAAAAAAAAAAAAAAAACAACAAAAAAAAACAACAAAAATGCATTTGTATCACGTAATGAAAAAGAATAATTGTACGTATTAGCACGTAACGAGTTTTGAAAAAACTGTCTCGGTATAATTATACTTTATATTTTATTTTTACTTTTTCGTTTTACTTTTATTACTCATTAGTATTAGCAAGCAACCTACGACGACTCGAACTGCATTTTAAATGCACTTTTTTTTTTTTTTTTATTTTACGTTAATAACGTTAGAAAAATATGAGGTTTCGAGTTCTTATTTTGCACTCGATGGGTCGATAGGTCCCTTCGCTTAACTACATCGAGCAATTCAAATAAATGCCGTTGCTAAAGTACAACAAATACATTCTTATACGTTCAAAGTATTGGTCGTTGCGAAATGCACGCGCTATAGTAGACGGATGATTCGGTGACGAAAAAAAAAAAAAAAAAAAAAAAGATATTTTTAAAATATGAGAGCAGCATGCTCGCAAAGAACATTGCGTACAATTAGTAAAAGTGAAAGGCATAGATTGTTGCTTGTCTCGTGACCACTCGAATTCAACGGGAGCGTAATTTTCTTTTGAAATTAAGCGTAACGTAATATCTCATGGCAATATCAATTGCAACGAAACGAAAATAGTCTCGAGCTCCTGCAGCCCCGTGTATGCTAAAATGCTAAAATGCTAAAAATTGTCACGATAGCGTGATATTGGGAAAAAAACTCCAAAATAAATCCTTAAGTTGGGAGACCGACGATTCTTAATAAATAACTCTCGAGCTTGATGATCTTGTCGCACGGTTGCGTTAGCCGTAGATATTTTTCGACATCGTGCGACTCTTCCTCCGAGGCGTCCGTATACTTTAGTCCCAACGTATTATTTCGTTCTTGCTCGTGATTCTTTGAAAAGACATCGTCGTCTCAATTGTGCTTTCATCCTTCCGTATCCGGTGTCTCGTCGCCACCTACAAGCGACCCCACGCAGGCGCACACTCGGACTTGCCTCGATTGAACGAAGGATAGACGAGTTGAACGATGTAATTACACGTTAATGAGATAATTCGTGGTTGGACAGTCGCGATGCTGTCGTTTATTGGATATGCAGCCGACCGGCGGTGACGTCGGCCCTCCTTATCAAACGGCACTGATTTGGCGTTATTTGTACCGTAGATAAATACCCAATTGGCACGTACGCAGCCGTGTAATAATAGAGGCGATTGGTAATGTGAAAAAAGTGCTCGGTCTCTATAAGTCGGAGGAATGATTTGCGTTGTAGCAATTAAGCTCGATGCTCGGCTCGAGAATTTTGTTGCATGTCCAAAATGGGCGTCGCTCGTCATCCGTGCGATTCGCTAATGCCAAAATTTTGCGTCCAACTGTAGGCCGGAGATTTGCATTTTACGCGCCTTTTGCGCTCACGACATTTGCTTAAAATCTCGTTACGTCTACTCTCTCATGTATTTACGGCCTATAACAGCATTAATAATCGATCGTTACTTGTTCATACGATAAATTATTGGCCGGATTTACAAATTGCAAATTGTATTTGTTAAAGTCGCTTTTCCACGAATACACGTTCATATAAAAATTCTTCTTATTCCCTATACGAGATAGCAAATGGTTATACACGATAATCGTTATTTTAATTCGTGTTTTTATACGATTGGAGAGGCATAAGCTCAAAACTTCCGGTCAAGTGAGCCATAAATGTTACTTTTATTTCTCTATTTATCTATAATCGGCGTTTCAACGTACATATCAAGTATACGGTTTTAGATAAATAAATTATACACGCGAGATGATACAGTAGAATGTACGTACGTGTGGACGAACGTAATTTCATTTATTTGAAAATAGCGATTCAATATAATATAATATAATATAATATACATCATAGATATATATCAATTGAAGTTCAAACTTTCTTTCTTCTTTCATTACTGCATTATTCAATACGAATAATAAAATGCCGTATTATCGCACATTATTCATCATATTCCATTATAATTTTTTGTGTAAAATACAGGCGACAATAAAAAAAAAAAATTTTTTTTGGAAGCGAGTGACTACTTTGACGTATATAAACAAATTTTAGATAAAAAAAAAACTAAAAATCATTCTATTTAATACATACATACATATATATATATATATATATTTAAAAGTTTGTCGAATGTTTATAGAAAATAATTATATAATGGATAATTTAAATAATTGTTATAGTACAATAAATGTTATAGTAATTAAAATGAGTCATTATGACGCTTCGTTCTACCTCGACAAAAAAAAAAAAAAGAAAAAAAAAAGAAAAATTAAATGTTCATTATCGAAATAAAAGATTAATAAGTAAAAAATATTTTAATACAATTATTCCAAAGATATTTCGTGCATAAAATCACGTGTACAATTTTTGTTATGTGAAAAATTTCGTTTTATTATTTGGAAGAATTTTGTGGAAGATAATTGTATTTGACTAAATAGAAAGTACATACTTTAGATGCTATGCGCAAACTGTAAGAGATAATAAAATGATTATTGAACGAGTGAGTTTGTACTTTTTCATCGAGCTCATTTAAATTACCCCAAAAAGAAGAAGAAGAAGAACAAGAAGAAGAAGAAGAAGAAGAAAGAGAAATGAAAAGAATCGACCAATTGATCGAACCTCGCGTTCTACTGTATTTTCAAGCGCAATGGAAATTAACTGTCATGTTATTTTCATTTCCTTACAATAAATTTATGTTCATTAAACATTAT